GTGTGTGTGTGTGTGTGTGTGTGTGTGTGTGTGTGTGTTTCCCAGCAATAACACACAAACAAACACACGCAACTAAAACAACTAAACAACTAAATCTTGGCATTTCTCGTGACCGTTCATGCAGAACAGTATTTACAGTTCTTCTCTGCATCGTTAAGTTCTTGCTTTGGTTGTCTGTCAAGACGGCTGTCTGTGTGGCAGAGGGTGTCTTTCAAAAACGGTTTAGGATAATTGAATGGATGCCAGGTGATAAATTGCTAGATTCCCAAAATATTTTAAAAACAAAAACAATGTAACCTAAAATCATTCATAAAACGGTGTAGATTCAGGTAGGCTAGCACACATTAATAATCATTCATTTTTACGAACCTACTTTTATTTCAAGTGTGTGTTTATGTGCTAAACCCGTGACCACATTATTTATAGGCCTATCTATTGACAAAACGAAACGGCTCTGTGGTGATTTACTCTCAGGTAAAGACGGATTTGATCAAATGAAACGCCTGAGAGGTGAAGGAGGATTTATTTAACCCGTGGAGGTTCTCCAGTGATCAAACAGTCGCTGGCTCCCTCACTGCAGACAGGGTGTGTGCTCAATTGTCCTCTCCACGCGTTTGTGGCGCGAGCAATGAGTTCACAGGTCGCAACATCACTTATTAATCTCATTATCAGCGGCCTGTCGAGGAGACTGATTGGCGACCACCTTTCTGAAATTGAAGAGAAATGTACTAAACTTGGTTACTTTACTTAATTTATCACCAAATAGGCCTATCTGCGAAGTGAAATCCCTGTTTGATATTTTTGAGCCAATTTATTTGCACAGAAGAGTTTTTCGTTAATCAACCCTTTTAAAAATTAATCTAAAACGTGCGTTTGGAATTTTGTATCATCCCTTATTATTGCTTTTATTCAATGCGTTTTTATTTGAGATTGCATTATTCTGCGTTATCTTTACATTAGCACGTGTAATTAATGTATTTATTTACATACATATTTAAAACTCTTTTTTATCCGAAAAAGGGGGAGGGGTGATAACTCAAACAATACCGCTAAGATAACAATATTTCCAACTGAGTATAATGAGTGTGATTATTGTTGTATCGTCATACTAAGCTGTCGCTCGTATCTCTTATCTCGCTACAGCTTTTATAGAGAACACATCCAGATTTATCGGGCCATAAAACTGAGCTTTACGTTCTCGCACAGACAGCTTGGTTATTTTACTGCAACATTTTTATTTTACAAGAAAGTACAAACAAAATCCCAAGCCATTACTGTAAAACATAATGTGCACAGTAGTGCAAGAAAAACGCGTATTAGTCCAGTGCTTTGGTATTATTTGGAACGTATTTAGATTCATTTAAATTATTTAAAATAAAGTAGCTAAATTATAACAAGTAAAAAAGTAAAACAATGTTTTATAGCACTATGGAACAATGTGTGATTTTTCTATTGCGCATACATGGATTATAGTTGCTTTGGTTCCTCAGTCAAAGCAATTTTCCAACTGCTTTAAATGTCTTTTAAGTTTCATCGACTTAAAAACACAGTCGTTTAAAATGCAGTGGACTCAGCAAATATAGATCTTACAGGTAGGAGCACACCCCTCCTCCGCAACACACCATCTAGTTTATCCCTCGTTCTTCTCCTCCTCCATGGGTCCTACCTTTGGAGCGCGTCACGTGGTTCTGCTCTTACAAATAACTCGCAGTAAAGTAGAGAGCAAATCAGAGAACAGTTATATTAGGCATTATCTGCAGCAGCAGCTATCTCCAGATACAGACAAGGCACAGTGACACGTCCAAACGCGGAGAGGACAACTACAAGTTTTTCGTGTTACGCAGACGCGTTGAAGTTTGAATTCTGGGCTAAAATCAAGAAGAAAGAAGAGACTGGGAACTTCCACGGCGATATTCAATCAAGTCACTTGGAAAAGAGGGTTCCTGACTTTATCACTAACCGTCCTTATCTGGTGAGATAATACAGCGAGAGCTCTTGGATGAAATTATATAAACCCTTTCCTTACAGCTATCAACGTTTTTATGTAATCTGCGTTTTCAGTGATAAATTATAGATGCTAGAGAGATTACAGTGCGGATTGATTCGATCCCCACAAATGATTTAATGGTTCGGTACAGAGTTTTCCCAGGATATCTGAGACTGCTGCTGATAATTATTTATATCCCTATGTAAAGATATGGACAGCAGGCTAATTAATGACATTTTAGTCTATTAAATACAAATCTAAAGATACAGATAACCGAAAAATCATGACAATTATAACGGTTTGTCCATCTTGACTGTAGCCAATAGCCGATGTATTTTTCTACAGTTTATGATTGTTTATTAAATTCGACTTATTACATTCCTGATTTCAAAGCATTGTTGCAAATATTGGATTCACACAATTGAAACACAAATTCATTCAATGATTATCAATTCAAAACTATTATGAGGCCTATTATGATTTGATTCTTTTATTCTCTTTTTTTTTGTATAATCCTAATCTGTTACTGAGAAAATAATTTAATTTGCTATTTTTCGGTTTGTCATTAGGAGAGAATTCCTTTTTCTGAGGCTGCTGCTCACGAAACCCTTGCATTGGAGATTTTGGACGTTATCGAGGCTTTTACTACAATCTGGGCTCATTTTAAGATTTTCAAAACTTGAAAGGATAGCTTAGTCATTGGATACATTATGTATTCGAGTCTGGCTTTATCTTCCAACCCGTCCCCTTACGCACACGATTCCGGGAACTACATCCATCCGTCCGCCAGCTCACCTGTATATGTGCCCACCACCCGTGTACCTGCCATGCTCCAGACCCTGCCCTACCTACAGACGTGTGAGTCCACGCATCAAGCCCACGGGCTCGGCAGTCACCACGCCTGGCCACAGACTGGCACGGAGAATTCCTCTTTCAACCCGGGCAGCCCTCATCCTCCTCCCGGTTTCTCTTATTCGCACAGCCCGCCGGTAAGCAGCAGCACCGGCAGGGACGCCGCGTACCAGAATCCGCTGGTGTTGGGTAACAGCGGCCGGGCAGATCAATATGGAAGTGCCCTGGTGCGCTCCGTCGGTGGCTCGTACTCCAGTCCGTACGCGGCCTACATGAGCCCAGAGATGGCAACCTCATGGACGCCAGGGCCCTTCGATGGCGGCATGATGAGTCTTCAGGGACGCCAGGGAACTCTACCGGGAAGGAGGTCCAGTTTAGGTAAAATGACTGGTCACAATAGTTATTCTTTTTTCTCTCTGATGTAAATATATGTACACTAGCAAAACACTGACAAAATAACAAAACGTTTGGTCTGCATCACTTTAACGCTCTTCTAAAATAATTTCGCTTAGGATTCTGTAGGCTTGACTATCCTTTTGCACAAATGTCGTATTTTAAAGTTAGTTATTACATTTAGTTTAAAATCCATCTTTCTAGTCAGCAGGCAAAAATGGTTGGAATTGAGGGGGTTTCGTTTGATGCTGTGATATCCCAATTTATAGCAGTGGTGTTCAGGGTTATTTATTGCTGTCTTGGTGTTTATATTAGACTATCGTTGTTAGAAGTCACTAGAATACCAGCTTGGCTAGGGTACACAGGCACATTACAAAACCTTATCAAAACAAAACTTGATCTTATTCCACTAATACACATCTTTTAATGGGCAATGCAATCACTTTAATTTCAATGTTAATTTAATTCCCTGCTATTGTCTGTCCACTTGTGGATTGATGAAAGGGTCCCGTGCACACCTCATAATTGTGAGAACTATCCAAACTACTGTCACCTTGATCAAACTTTTCTAAACAGACCATTACGGTCAGATACACATTTAGCGACCGTTCCCTTTGAAGCTCAGTGCTTTAGGAGGACACATTTTCCTTGATAGTCCATAAAACCTCACATTTCTTTCTACAACCGAGGGCGATTTGTTCGGGCTTACATTAGGCTCGGGCGTTTGATATTGAGCAGTTGCGTATTTTGATGTTTTGCTACGAAAATTGTTTAATAAACTTGAGTAAAGCTGCATTTTAGATTACAGCAGTCCGTCAGGAAAAACTCAACCAGATTAAACAGCCCAGACATTTTCAACTGCAAAATGACAACACATAATTTTAGAAAGATTATTAATACGCACGTCTTATTTGAAATAAATTGTTGGAGAGCGTCACGTGTCAGTATCTTGATTGATCGGTGACCCCTGGATCTTTAACACTGATAAGAGCCCCATTGACATTCCGCTCGCCTGAGGCCCTCGTGCCTCGTCAGCCGCCCTAATAGACACTCCAGTGACCCTGGATTTTCTCTTATTAATCCATTCTTCATTCCGTCTAGAGTTTTGTCACATTCCATACCGCTGATGCTCAGAAAACACCAGGCCTCACCTATAGGTCTATTTGAATCAATGCAAAGTGTGGAGTTTTTACAGGGCTTTAAAAATGAAAAACAACTTGTATTATAGCCTACATTAGGCTTTTTCTTAACACATAAATAAAAGTCTATAGTTATTTAATTTTATTTATTTATTTTAGCAAATATGAACATATTGGATAGGGAAATAATAACTAGGCCTATTTGAATATTCTCCCTCTTTAAATTAGGCTATATTGTGTTATATGCGCAAACTTTTTTAGAACGCTCCCTTTATATAAAAATCACATAGCCTACAAATCCATAAAATGTTAGAGTGAACCCTGTTGTTTATGAAAATAATAGCTATGCCTATATTTGAACATATTTTAAAATGTTTAAATGTAGTCAGAAATTGCGCAACACGTAAAGAAATCTTTGTGTGATAGAACGTTTTAAAACTTTATTTTAATCGTGAAGTCACCGCTTTAAATTGGAAACGTCGCATATTTAGAAACACGCAGCGTCTAAACGAGCTCTGATCAATAGCCTAGGCTATACATCGTTACATTTTTTTGTCTGTTAAGTTTATTGATATTTGGCTTTTTAGATACATAAAACAGGAAGAAACAACAACAATTACAACAGTTACATCTCATTACACTGAGCGTTCCCTTCATTTGAACTTTACCAATTATTTCTTCTCGCGTTGTATTTTATGATTTTAACGAACATTGTCCTCTCATAAATCGCTTTGAACCTAGAAGTAAACCTTGGGAAATGAATGAAAAACGAACTGTATCTCCTTTCAGACATGCTGGAAGAGCTGCCGGGTGAAGGGCGTGAGTGTGTGAACTGTGGCTCCATCTCAACGCCGCTGTGGAGGAGAGACGGGACCGGACATTACCTGTGCAATGCGTGCGGCCTTTACCACAAGATAAACGGCATCAATCGACCTCTAATCAAACCACAGAAACGCCTGGTAAATGCCCATTTGCTGATTATAGTCATTTACTTGTTTTTTTAGGTTTTACACGAACTTTTCCAATGCAACATTGTAAAAAGTGAGCAGGTGCAGGTGTTACTTTAAACAGTTATTTCTACCTTACCTGCTGACCCTTTAAAATGACTTTCTTTGGTTTGACCCAATATAAACATTGATTCAATTAAATAATGATTTATTCAATCATATTAAATAATATTTTTTTTTCAGATGAATTCAAGCAGTTGATTTAGATGTTAACACATGAAGCACATTTTTCTTCCAAATTCCCAGACAAATAATTTTTAATGTGAAGTAGGCCTATTCCTCATTGGCAAATACTTGAAATTAAATTATTTTTATTAGACAAATACAGACTTCAAGCCTAGAAGGAAAAGTGTAAAATATCCTTATGTTTCCAGACCAGATGTAAACCTTTTTGCTAGTTTTCTGGAAATACTTAGCTGAAACTTTTATGAAATTATTTTTGCTCATTTATATTCATGTTAAGAGGGTAGTGGCTTGATCTCAGGGTTAGTACCAGGGAAGGCCATTGAAAGAGAGAAATTGAGCAAAGCCTTCACTGCTGTCCTGTTTCCCAGGAGTCTCTCTCTTTCTCTCACTCTCTCTCTCTCTCTCACTCTCTCTCTCTCTCACACTCTCTCTCTCACACACATTCTCTTTATTACTCTCTCTCACACACGGTTCTCTCACTCGTCTCTACCTCTCTGTTTTCATTTTTGCATTCATGACCTTGTCCTTGGGTCGGACTGTTTTTAGCCCAAGCAGCGCTTGGACTGGAAAAGAATTTCAGCTGAGAAGCTTCATTCTTTCTCTAGAAGAATATTAATGGTGTGTACCTTTAAAATCCTCCTTTGAATTCATAAAATGATGCTTGGAATGAATATAAAGGCCTGCTCACAGAGTTCCCGTCCATTTTCTCTATTATTTATGACCATAGTTGCTTGCATTTAAAATAAATGCTGTGTAATACATTTACACATCTTAGCCAGTGCAAAATATTTTTAACAAAACATATAACCTTTTGATTAACACATTTGTGATTCAGGATATTTTTCATTCGTGAAAAATATATTTATATTTTATCTCCCCTTTTGTTTGAGGGGTATTTTTATTTCTTTCATTCCCTGTCTCAGTTCCTCTCTTCAGCTCTGTAAAATTCTCTCAAAGTCCACCATATTTATCACTTCCCTAAATTCTGTATGTTTGTCTCCGTAGCAAAGCACGTCACGACGAGCAGGTCTGTGTTGCACTAACTGTCATACCAGTACGACCACGCTGTGGAGGAGAAATGCAGAGGGAGAGCCCGTCTGCAACGCCTGCGGACTGTACATGAAGCTCCACGGGGTGAGTGTGCATGTGATTCCACACAAGACTGATATTTCTAACTAGACCTCGATTTGGGAGGGTGCATGCTGTGTGTACGAGCACGGCAGCCCGGGTGTGTGTGTGTGTGTGTGTGCAAACCTGTAGTCCACGTGATACTGAGGTCATAGGTGTGTTTTATCGGAAGAGAATGAGAACGAAGAAAGGAAGGGGAGTCGCTTAAATAAGCTTTGTTCTGTAAACTAGTGTTCTATGAACTCACCGCTGCCAAACTGACTCTCACAAGAAAAAAGGAAATATAATCTAGTTACAACTGCAACAACAAGACCCATATTCTCACCCAGTTCAACCGCCATTATAACTAAACCACCAACTCTTGATTGATTGCATAATGAATAATCTGTCATAGTTAAATTATAATGCGTTTACTGTACTCTTGTTTTAGATACCAAGGCCATTAGCAATGAAGAAAGAAAGCATTCAGACGAGAAAACGCAAACCAAAGATGCCCAAAACCAAAGCATCCTCAGGTAAGAGTTGAGAAAAGCATTTTAAAAGAGATGTTTTTGAAAAAGGCTCATTTTTAGACGAAAGCAGACATGAGTGATTTGGATGGAAGTGTGGGAGTGAGTGAGTCAGAGAATGTGTGGAGAGAAATATGGGGTGAGCGAGAGAGTAACGGGAGGGAAAGGGGAGTGAAAGAGAGAGAGAGAGCACTTTTCTCTGCATTTAGTCGACATGTGGTGCGTGTGCGGCACCAGGACAAACACCAGCCAATGTTTGACGCCATTAATAGTCATTTGCAATAACCTATAAAATAACATGTCCAGTTTGCTGTTCCTTTATTGTGGCTGTCGGTCACATTTTGTTTTGTTTGTCTTCAGGGTCAACAGTGTCTGGCGCTGCATCTCCCACTTCATTGCCTGCATCAGAGAACGCCTCTAAAATAAAGAGTGAACCCAATATCGCAGCTTCACCGTATGCAGGCCAAACTGTTGTCTCAGTCACACAAGTATGTACTCACTGTATTTTTCCTTTGTAAATGTCACCGTCGCTGAAAGGAAAATATTAAAGATGGGATAGATAAATGATTGATTCCAGAGTTCATATTC